ACCAAGATTTTTTAAAAAGACAAGATGCCAATAAGAAAAATGATAAAGAGCAAAATTAAAGAAAATGAATCAGAAGCCAAGGGCAAAGGCAAGTATAAAAGGAAGTACAACAAAAAGATGGAAGAAAATAAGTAAGTAAAAGGAAGACCCATAAGACAATTGATCATACTTCAGATACAAGCTATGGCCCAGTCATTGCCTGAATGGATTATAATATTTATCAGCAGTTTCTGCTCTTCAGAAGTTTCACCATTTTTTTGCCTCAGCCACAAATTTCGGCTCTTAGACTTTCAAATGTTCTCTCTCTTTATATATATAGTCAATAAAGACTGTGTACTTTCTGAAATAAAACATTTTTATTGAAGAAATGTAAAATAATTCTTTTGACAAGTGTCCTCTCTCTAGTTTATCCAACTAATCAATAACAATTCATGGTGGGCCTAATGATCACAAGATACCCTACTAGCAATAAGTATATACCAAAAAACACAACTCAGAATCCCTGAAATCAAGTAGCCTGTTAATATAGTAACATATGTATGCACAATAGTTTCTAAAAAGTCTATTTTAAAGGGTGTCCAAAAAGTACTTTAAATGGACAATATAAGAATTCAGAATTATTTTACAATGAGAAAGTAAAAGGGATAGGAGCTTCATGGGCAAAGAACAGTAACATTTGTCATTCAAGAGGTATCTACAGTTAGTCAAGTAGAGATAACAATGAAAGTCATCTAAGTAAATGAAATAACCTCTCCAAAATAGAATGTATACAGGGCCAGCAAAAGCAAAAGTCCAAGAACTGAAATTAGTAATATGTAACAGGTTGAAGGAGAAAGTTAACAGAAGGATGAGAAGATATAAGGAAAACCTTATGTCTTAATTATTGGAATGTTCCAATAATTAAGAAAGATGAGAATTTCAAGAATGAAAGAATGATTACAGAATAGCCAAGACTTCAAGGGAATTAAGGACTGTAGTTGGAGGTAAATGATCAATTTGTAAAGAGAACATTCCAAAGGAAAAATAAAATAAGAAAAGAAAGTTAAGCAGACAGTATACAGAAATACAAGCAGGAACTATGGAATGTGTCTTCAAAAAAAATTAATTTTAGTCCTTTTTAAAAATACAGTTTTAGGACATTTATTTTTTGCACTTGGGACTGAACCCACAGATGGGAGTACATTACCACTGAGCTACATCCCTAGCCCTTTTTATTTTTTATTTTGAGACAGGATCTCACTCAGTTTCTTAGGACCTCATTAAATTGCTGAGTCAGGACTCTAACTTGCACTGCTCCTGCCTCAGCTCCCAAGTCACTGGAACTATAGGCAGTGCTCCACCATGCCAAGCTACAGATTTTACTTTTAATTCTGCACTTGTTAACCTAATATATCCTGAATGTTATATTTAGTTCTGTCATGAGATGTGCATAAACTAAAATGCCTTTTGGAGAAGAAAAACTCTAGTAATACTAAACAGGAAGTTGCACAATTCACCTGGGGAAAAAGCGTGAGAATTGTTTTCAAATACATGAGCATCCATCATAGATTAGAATGTTTGGTACAGCTGCAAGAAAATAAAACCAGTGTGTAGAAAGTACAAGGTAACAAATTCTATTGCTATTGTAAGTATTATAAGTGGGGCTCTTAAAAGAGTCTAGGCCTTCATGATCATTTAGTGAGAATGCTATAGAATGCATCTTAGGAAACAACTGAGTACTTGGAATAAATAAATTTTATGTTCCTTCCAAATGTCAGAGTCTATAATTCAAAGTATAAATTTATTTGAACTAACTAAATGTTTCTCAAGAAAACTTTCATATTGTTATGCCAGGATTTCTTGAAGTTTGTTTGTGGAAAGCCAATCTGAATGACCACACCTTCCAGTCCTGAAGCTTGAGGCTCTGACCACTCACTATATTTCCTGGTGACTTGGACCTTGTCCCCAGCTCAGATAGCAAGGCATGGCTCCAGGTGTGGGCATCACCCAAGGATTGGTGAGCTACACTCACCCATTCCTTTGTAATCCTAACCTTGTCTCATTTGAATGGCTTCTTCCCAATAAAAGGGTTCAGCACATGCTTCTCTCTCTTTCTCCATGAACCCCTAAGGTTAGAGGAGCCATCACAGGACCCAAAGAAAAAGGTATTTCTCTGTTGCTGTGTGATTATTTCCTGCAATTCAGTTCACCTGGAGTGACCTTGAATGTTTGGTAGTGAAACACAACAGTCAGTGGCCAGTATAGAGACTCCAGGATGAATTTTAGAAATTTAGTGTGTCCAGAATTTCTCTACAGAAGTTAAGGGTGCTTAGGATTTCAGAGTATTGTGGGCTGAATTGTAGAAAATAAGTGAATTAGAAGAAAAATCTGTGACTTTAAGCTTTTTTAATATCTGGGAATATGTTATCTTCAGAAAGATAAAAAATTTTATTTTTGCAATTCTAAAAACCCTAAATAAATATAAAGAATTATTAAGATGATTAATGAGATATGTTGTTAAATTCAGCAGTCCTCTCCCATGGAAAAAGTGCTTTTATTGACTTTTTTGGATTGTTTTTATGAATCTTTATATTTTAAAATATCAAGTAAAGATGGGAACAGTATATACTAGAAATCTGTGCTTGGAGAATTGAAAAAGAAAAAGGAAAAAATGTTTGTGATGAGAGTTAATACAGGAGATTTCCTAGGGCTAGAGAGGCATATTTTTCTGCTGTTTTTTAAAGGTGCTCAAACAATTTATATTCAACCTTTTCACTGAATTCTTGTCCTGCTGGATCAGAATGACTGTAACTTGGCTGCTGTGGACAAAAGACTTTAGCCTCTGTTCCCTATGGGGTCTGTAACTAGACCCACCACCAGCAAAAAACCCGGCCTGGTTGCCAAAGGCCAACTGCTTAAAGATTTGATATTAACACTGGCATCTGCCATTAAAACTCACTTTTAAATCACCCATGTGCTGCAAGGGAAAGTACAGAAGACAGGAGAACAAGCGCTGCAAGTACAGTTCTTAGAGACAAGGCAAACTACTGCCTGCTGTAATGGAAACCCGCAGGCTCCAGGGAGCCCTTGTTCCCTACAATATGCAGCGGGCTCCTTGTTCTTTCCATCACCATGATAACCACCATGGACTGGCCAGCTTCCTGGTCCTGCCTCCAGCAATTTTGCAGGCTTCCCATTGATCCTCCCACTGTCATTCAGACAGGACTTCTGATCTGGCCTTCTAGCCACTAAACTGTACTTCCTGTTTCACACAGACCTACTACTAAAACCACACAGAGCCTGCGTTTTTAAGAATGCCCACCTGTAAAGACTAATGAAAGATATCTTTTTCAGGCAATTGATTCCACAGGTTTCTATATTGCAGCCCTAAGCCTCACTTGTTCTCAAAGTTAAATAACTTGATTTTTTTTTAATCCCTCAACAGCTTCCTTTAAAATCTTTCCTTTTCCTCTTTATGGTAATATCAGTAAAGTTCTATTGATGAAAGGTATCAAACACATGCTTCTTTGTAATTTGCTTTTAACTTTGGAGGTTATAAGGATACATTTTGCTTGCCACAGGAACAAAGGTGGTTGAACAAAAAATCCTTATCCTCATTCCTGATCATATAATTACAAGAAATAAATAAATGTATACACAAGGATCTTATTATGTGATGTCACAAATATAAAAAAGTTCACTACTAATCCAAGGAAACTTAAAGTGGATTCAAATATCTTAAGACCCACATGATTACATAAAGTTAATACAATTATGAGTTATGCCTAATTCTTAATACATAATTTTCTAGGTATTTGAATAACCTGTTATTGTCAATTCATAAAATAATTAACATATGTCTAATTGTTTAATTAACATATATTTATATAATCATTTTTCTTCCACAGAAAACCTATAATTTATGTATACATTTATCTGATGCTCTGCTTTTTGTAATTAGAAATATTTAAGATAAATGTATTTTACTATAAATTTACTTTCAAGAGATAATAAAGTAATCTTTAATTCTCAAATTATTGTACAAACTTTATAAGATGATAAACAAGTAAAATTCTGTCTACAGGAATATCCAAGAGCTTTAACTATGTTTTCATTAAGATATTTCTTCTTAGCAAGGTACAATAATTTGTTTAGATTCTAAGATTTATAGAAATTATTCCCTAGTATAACCAAAAGAAAAAATTCTAAAGGAAAAGAAGGCACTTCCACTGAGAGGAAGCACACATTGGTGGTCCTAAGCAGAAGAAAATCATCTTTAGGTAAAACAAGATCTTTATGTTCTAGATTTTAATAATAAAAGTATTTTCCTAAATAGAGAAATCTTTATATAATTATTTAGACAGATGCTTTAGAAAGTCAAAACAATTGAAAAAGAGATTTATATGTAAGTGGACTGATTATAAGAATTTGAACTGATTAATTCAAGGATATTTCAGGCTGTTCCCTTGATTTTACTATGCTGATGTGAACTAAGATTTTGTCCATATTTTAACAAGATGAAGACCTATTAAATGTTACATTTATTTCATTTAAGAAGGCCTTTATTTGCCTACTTTATTCTTAATGTTTAAGCAAGGATTAAATTTAGTGAATAAATTAACAACCTTAATTAAACAATAAATATTCTAAACAACTGACTAAATTCCAATTTTGACTTTTCTCCTTGGAGACTAAATTTGATTATTGCATATTACTTCTGTTTGTTGGGTAGTTATGAGATTTGGGAGAACATTTTATTAGGACTGATGTTCTCCAAATTAAAGTCATATGTTTGTTTTGATCAATAAAAATTACAAACTTTATTGGAAATTCATTGGTATTATATAAGTTCTCTGACTGGACCTATTATCCATAAAAAAGTATGGTAAGATTTATATACTACTCCCTACACTGGGAAGTAACCTGAATTATATTTTCTAAAAGAGAGTTAAGAGACACCTAATTAAAGGATAATATTCTGAGATATAGAGATATTTTGAGACCTTTTCTCAAAAATAAATTGAGGTTTCTTTTTAAATTATTAGGAAGGATCAACTAGTCTATATACTGGAAAATTACAATAATCAATAAAAATTATCTCATCTTCACATCTGCCTCAATTACCGTTAACAAAGAAGGCCTTAGAAAATTGACTAGTAGAAACTAAAATCAAAGGAGAACTCTCACTTTAATATAGACCAAAACAAATACAGGGAAATTTTCAAGGGATCTAAATTCATATATATTTCAAAATTTCTGCTAGATGTCTAATCTGATCTAGAGAGGTATTATGATATTACTTAGCTAAACTTTAAAATAGAGGGCTATCTTAAAATCAGTTTTAAAGGAAATTTATCTTGGCCACCTCCCAATGACACAAATGGGAACAGACCTGATGG